CACTTAGCGGTTTTCACTGAAAAATACTGTAAGAGAGACTCACAGCCAAAGTTTGGGAAGAGCACAGGGAGTCTTATGGAAAAGTGGAAGGATAGAGGACCTGGAGGGGACAGGAGCTCCACAAGGACACCAACAAAGCCAACAAATATGGGCCCAGGGGTGCCTACAGAAACTGATGCACCAACCAAGGACCATGCAGGGAGAGGACGTAGACCCCCTGCTCAGATGTAGCCCATGGGCAGCTCAGTCTCCATGGGGGTACCCTAGTAAGGGGAGCAGGGGCTGAACTTGGTTGCCTGCTCTTTGATCACTTCCTCAGGCTGGGCAACCTTGTCAACCCACAGAGGAAGAGGATCCAGGCAGTCCTGATGGGACTTGATAGACAAGGGTTAGATAGTAAGGGAAGATTGGACTCCACCTTTCAGTGGACTAGGAGAGAGAGAGGGTGGTATAGGGAGGGAGGATTGGACTGGGAGGGGCTATGATCGGGATATAAAGTGAATAAATCATAAAATATATATATATATAAATAAAATAAAAATACTATAAGAAACCCAGAGGAAAGCACAAACTAAGAAAGACGTTTCAACACATACAGCAAGTAGTATATTTTATATATATATATATAGCATATATATGCTACAACGGTGTATTAGTATATAGTAATGTAGATGCATATCATCTGCGTGTATTTATCTCATGAAAGAAAGGGTTATTAGAAAGAGATGATCAGCCTTCCTCAACATTTCTGCCACCCCTGAGACAAATCTCCCTCTGTATCCTGGCAGGCATCAAATCTGTGGCTGCTTCCGCCCTCTGAGTGCTGGGGTTGCACGCATCCACTGTCACACGTGGCCACATCCTTTTTCTGAAAACATGTACAGCCATGCCAGCGCCCTTTTCTGAGCATTTGTTATATGCCAAGCATATAGTGCATGTAAACACAAGTGCCTCACCGAACTCTCAGCAGCCACAAAGCAGAGTTTCTGTCACCACCCCCTTACGCAGATGAGGTTACTGCGGTGTGGAGAGGAGGCAGCGAAAGTGCAGAGCCAGACCCTGTCAATCCTAAATCCCTGAGATACATATCCTTGTGAAGAGACTGTGTGGGCACAGCTGAAGGCAAAGGGATATTGCTGGGTTTGCAACACAGCGGAGTAATCTCTCTGCTCCATAACTCAGCCCTACACCTCATGAGTGAATGGTCCATCCTTGCTCACTTCCTCAACTCCTATTCACCCCCCCACCTGTTCTACTCTAGTTTCTGTTCCACTCCTTCCAACTCCCAAACTTTCTCCTGAGCTCCAGTTTCAAAGTGTTTACTTACTAGACATTTTAAATAGTTTGTTTAGTTTTATTTTATGTGTATTGGTGTTCCGCCTGCATGCGTGTCTGTGTGAGGGTGTCAGATCCCCTGGAACCGTTACCGACAGTTGTGAGCTGCCATGTGGCTTGCTGGGGATTAAATCTGGGTCCCCTGGAAGTTCAACCTGCTCTTAACCACTGAGCCATCTCTCCAGGCCCATTACTGAACATCTTCATTTCATTTGGTTTTTGCCCTCAAGACACAACAAGCTGGGCAGGCCTTGAATTTTTTCCACCTTTCCTATTTTACTCTTTAATTCTGAGTCTTTGACCCACAACACAGCCCAGCCAGGACCCAAATGTTCATGTGGCTTCCCCTGGCTTTTCCTGCTAGCACCAGCTGTCAAACCACTATTCTACATCTATCTCCTACAAACTATCTCTACACCTCACTCCTGCTCACCTTCACAGCCCTGGTCCTATTGAAGGTCCTTACAGTTTCTCTCTGGAATCACTGTTAATGTGCTGTCTCCGGCATATGCTTAGACTTTAGCCAAACTGTTCTTTTAAAAAAACAAAGTCTCACTATGTAGACCAGGCTGTCCTCAAACTCCTGATCTTTCTGTTGCAGCCTCCTGAATGCTAGAATTAGAGGCATATGTCACTTTGTCCAGCTTTCAAGATTAAAGAAGCTTTACTATATATGTCTTAACATCCTACCCATGACCATATTATAATTGTTCTTCTCTCTGTTTGGACTACCCCTTCCTGAAATCATTTGCCAGGAACTTATTCTCCAAAAACTCATCATTTGGGAAGCTTCTCCAGTAGCCGCTGTCTGTTTATCCACCCATCCATCCATCCTTTCGCCCACTCATTTACTCAGAAATTATTATGGATATATTATGTTCTAAGATCTGAGACTGGGTACAAGACAGACGGGGTCCAGGTTTCTCAGATATAATCACCATGTTGCAGATACATGTTGACTGATCAATCTATCAACAATATATTAGTCTCTCTCTCTCTCTCTCTCTCTCTCTCTCTCTCTCTCTCTGTCTTTCTCTCTCCCTCTGTGTGTGTATGTGTGTGAGTGTTGTTAGAACCCAGAACATTGTGCACACTAGGGAAATGCTTCACTAGCAAGCTGCCTTCCAGCTCAGGTGTGTTGATTTTTGTCTTCCCCACTTAAAGGTTCATCTTTTGATATTTAGGGCCTTGACCATGCTAAGTCATACAGACCTTTAACAAATGAGAAAAATTTTAAGTCTATCAGCTTACCACACCTATCAATGATAAATAATAAGTAAGCAAACAAATAAATGTGAAAAAGGAAAAAGGAAGGAAGTCTCGCTTGTTTGGATTTATTCTTAGTGACTCCCTGCTGACCTCTTGGTAATCCTCGTCTTTTCGTTGTTGTTCTGCATGGTCATCAATCATGCCTCTGTCTGCCTGACCCTGCTGCATGGCTTTGATTTTCTACAGGTGTAGCAGAAAACTCAACCAGATCCTTATTTACCCACCACTGGAATAGAGAATGTTTGCTTACTAATACAGTGGTTTTTTCCAAGCTCAACACAGAGACCCAGAGGTGGAGTCCATTTGCTTTTGAACTTTTGCAAACTCTCTTAGCTCTTAACTCTTAACCATTTGCAGACACAGTGAGAGGCAGGAGGCAAAGAGAGGTGAAAGGATAAGGTAAAGAGTTGAAGAGCCCAAGTCCCTTTTCAGGGTGCAAAGAAATGCTGGGTGGAAATGTCCTCTGTGTTCTTTCTGCTCTTCGGTGAACAGAAAAATTAGTGGTACCCCAGGTTTTCCACTTCCCCATCTGAACATGCTGAAGACTCAAGGTGTTTATGTCTCTTTGGGAAATCAGCATTCGTATAGCCCAAGCTGTACATAGTACCTGTCTCTTGGAACACAGGTCCTAAGTGATAGGCATCTGTGAGCATCTGTGTCACCAGACATGGTTCCTCCTCAACACATTGAAGCAACAGATGTCCCGTGTACAACCACCATTCTACTTCATAGTCTTTGCCAGTGACCTTTAAATCACACTTCCTCAGAGTAGCATGCCCTGAACCTCACCTTCCCTGAGTCAGTACGCCAATCCTATGGTTCAAATGTATCCCTTCAAAATTCATGTGTTAGAAATGTAATCCCCAAACCTATATGTTACCAATATTTGGGGGTGGGCTCTTTGGAGACCATTAGGCTGTAAGAGTGTGAAGGTGGGTCCCTATGATGACATAAGTGGCTTTATAAGAAGAGGGAGAGTAACCTGAGCTAGGGTGCTCGCTCTGTGCCGTCTTTCCTAATCCAGTGCAGCACAAAGACTCTCTACCAACGAATACCACCATGCTGAACTTCCCAGCCTCAAGTTACAAGCCAAGCAAAAGTCTCTACAAACAATCCAATTTTAGGTGTTTGACCAGAAAACTGACCAAGACACCCATGCTGTGATCTTGTGAAGCTCTCCTACCACCTGTCCCTTTTGTTTTTTTGAGGTAATATCTTTTTATGTAGCCCCAAAACGCTTGGAACTTTTCAGCTTTGGCTTCCTAAGTACTAGAGTTATAGACATAAACCACCATGGTCATCCTCATTTCTCCTTCAGAGAGCATGGTGATTATAATTTCTCACTATTGATTTCTCTTATCTGGACTTCTCTGTGTTTAGCACTGATGAAGTACTCAGAAAATAACTGTTAAATGAATAAATGATGGAGGGTCAATCAAGCCTCAAATACCCACCGCATCACCTCATAACCCCTGGCCGAGGATCACTTAAATTTCCAAGCCACATTTCCTGATATTACTGACTCTTGTGATCATCATAAAAGTTTGGTCCTTGGTGCATCTTTCCGAGATCCTAGTTTAGAAAATAGAGGTCTGATGACCACCACTGTTCTGGAGACTAAGTTTGTGAGGTTCAGGGACTGGGATTTTACAGTGAGACATTAGGCACTGATACAAAGACATAAGCAATAGTTCGTAAAGAGATTGTCTAGTTTTCCCACCCACTCACAGGTAAAAAAAAAAAAAAAAATTCTCCACTACGGAGTAGTGTAAGTAAAACTACAGTGTATATAACGTCTTCTTGTCAGAATGGCAAAGACTAAGAGTGGAAGAGTAAGCCATGTTGGTTGGTGTCGAGGGTCCATGCACGCTCCTTTTGTTAAGCATGTGGGTTCCAGTACCCACTTAGGTTACAGAAGATCAAAGGCTCAAGGGCAAAAAGGGGTCTTAGTAGATGAAGTGGAATTGCTGGAAGTGTGACAGGATAAACAGACCTTTGAAAACCCCGTGACTTTATATTGGCCTTTACATGGTTGTGACTGTGCCCCCCCCCATGTTTCTGTAGGCATCCTAGATGGATGTTATCTGCTCTCTTTACATGACTGACAAACTGACAGCTAGCGTCTTATGCTTTGCTTCCATAAACACTGGTGCTTTGTTTTGTTTTTAACAAGGGGATTTCCCAAATGGCATCCTGTGCTTGCTAATCCACATAGAAGATGCAAACAGAAACTTGAATGTGACTCCTGGGATGACCACAGGGGTAGCTTTTGGAAAGCACAGATTCCTGCTCCCTTGGAAAACAATATACTTTTCCATCAGCTGCACCTCCTTAGCCATCATTCAAGTAAGAATGTGCCATCTTCTCTAAACACAAGCCAATGAATATCCTCTTACCAGGTGCATTCCTATGGAGGTGGACATCGCTGTCTCAATCTCGGTTCCCACGTCTTCGATGAAGGGGTACTCATTCTGCTGATGGATGAGCACCTTGGCTCCAGTGGAGGACACCAGGAAGGGGTTATATTCGTCTTCATTGATGTATAAGATGACTTGCAGCCCTGGGAGACAAAGCAGTTTGCTATGGTCAAAGGCTAACAAAACAGTCCTCGGGGCCTTGGGGAGCCTCTGAGACCCAGAGACCTCCAGAAAGTACTAGGTGGTTGAACACCAGACTGAAATCTCTAAGACAGTAGAGAACTTGTCTTTGATCTGCTTATTGCAAGTTCAAAGAAGTGGTTCAACCTCACATCACAGGCACGTGACAGCCAAGACTAAGATCCTGCTAAATACAGAACTGCACGAGACACGTAAGTCTATGCTGTTGCTGATAAAGGAAGTTCACTGGGCAAGCAAAGGTGCCTCTGGTGCTGTGGCTGCTTACATAGCAGAGCTGGAGAAGAGACAGAATGTGATGGTGTGTCTGGTGGCTGGTTTAACCTCTCTCCTTCTCCCGCTCTTGTTCTCTGTGTGGATTATAGTCTGTACCCAGCTGTCAGACTGAACTTTGAAAATTGGAAATTGGGTCAGATCCCTGCCTGAAGCCTTTCAATGGCATCTGTCTGTATATAGAGGAATACCATCGACTCCCCCTGCCTGTCACCATCAGGACTAGGAAGGTGTATCCTAATCTGTGTCTCTATCCTTAACTTATCCCACTCTCTCCCCTTCTGGACCAGCTCTAAGCACACTCCCCTTACGTGGCAGTTTGAATAAGATTGGCCCCCATAAGCGCATATGTTTGAATTCTTGGCCTCACTTGGTAGAACTCTCAGCTGTTCCTGCCACTGTGTTTTTGCTCCATTGTCATGGCCTAACCCACTGGACCTGTACGCCCAACTGAATGTTTTTTTTTTTCATAAGTTGTCTTGGCCATGTTGTTTCATTACAGCAACAGAAAAGTAACTAACACACTTCATTTATCTCTCCTTCCACAGAAATGCAAGTTTCCTAAAAGCAGGAATGACATCTGTCTCACTCCCCACTGTATCCCTAGCTCCTCCAAGCGGGCCATATAGCAGATAGTGCTTGGTGAATGAATGCATGAATTAATGAATGGGTAGAGTCTGTGTGAATTGAAAAATGAGAACTTCAGAGGTATTCTAACCTCTTCTATTTGTAACTAAGGGAACTGAGCCCAGAGAGGGGCTTGGTATACTGGAGGTCACACAGCAGAGCTAAAACTCTGGCCCTCTTCCCTCAGTTCCCAGCCAGCCTCCTTGCCACTGCTACAGCTTCTCAGGTTCTCGGAAACAACACAGACTCCACGGTTATGAAATCCAGGATTCTGAGAGCAGATTTCCTCTATAACAGAGCCTGGCTATTCCTAACAAGAACATATCTCTGTAACAAATCAAGTTCTGTTTGCGTCGAACTTTTCAAGAATTCCCTTTGGCTGGGCGTAGTGCTGTTAAGTATGCCTGTACTGTCAGGGTTCAGAAGGCCGAGGTAGGAAGCTCACAAATTGGAGGCCATTCTGGGTTATCTAGTGAGACCCCCATCTCAAAATAAACAGGGGCTGGGGGTGTAGGTTGGCAGCTGAATGCTTTGCCGAGCATGCATAAGGCCCTTGGTTAGATCCTCAGCACCACAGGAAAGGCGTGGGGGAGGAATTCTTTCTATGAGGAAACCAAGCCATCCTGCCACATTCTTAGCTTCCATATGAAGTAGAAGGGGCAGAAACAGAGGTGTCATGAAGAGTTGTGGTGGCAGCAACAGCAATGCCAGTGATGGTTGCATGCACAGTGCGTGTGGTTGGGGTGTGTGCCCTCCCAGAACAGATTCACATGGCCACGTGCCAACCCCCTTTGTGAAGGCATTTGGAGATAGGGCCTTAGTTAAGGCTCAATGAGGACTTAAGGTCATGGCTCTACTCTGATAGGACTGGTGCCCTCATAAAAAGGAGAGACATCACAGCACCCTCTTGAGACAGGAAAGGCCACACGAGGACACACGACGAAGATATGCCATCTGCAACTAAGAAGAGAAAAAAGTCTTATCTGAATTCACAAGCGCTGGTACCTTGACCTTGAACATCCAGCCTTTGGCATTGGAGGAAACTAAGGTCTATGGTTGATGCCATCCAAACTATGGTATTTTGTTATGGCAGCTTGGATGTGTTCCAGGGCTTATTCTTAGAACTCTGAATAACGTTTAGGGGAGCTACTGTTATTGTTCTCACTTTATAGTTGAAGGGCAGTAACCAAGGTCACACGGTGAGAGGCAGAGCTGAGGTTTGGCTCCGGAGTCTGTCATCCTAACTAAGCTAAAGGTGTGTCTGCCCAGCTAATCTCCTACTCACCCCATCTGGGTTTAGCTTAGACGCCACCTGCCCAGGATTAGTCACCCCAGCAGTGAGCTTAAACCAGAGCGGTTTGTCAGCTGAAGGAACCCCGGCAGTGTCCCAGTCAGAAAGGGAAAATGCCCACATCGAAGGAAAGAATGAACGCGGATGAGCACGTGTGCACCGGGAGAGGGGAAGAATGCCTTTGCTTTAGGGCAGGTGGTGAGGACGGGAAGATCATGTGTCCCCACTTGTGCTGCTGCCGTCAAGGTAGCACTTCCAAATGCCTCGGGGGTCCCCTCCACGAGGGGTTCCCTCCTTACCATACTCACTGCCCCCCATGGAGGTGCTGAGGATGGTGGCATTCTCTCTGTTGTTGAACGTGTAGCAATTCCCGTACATTGGATGGTGGAAAAGCGTGAAGTTCCTACGGGAGAACGGGAAGGTTGAGAAAGAGCTGGGCTGGGGCTTGCCCCTGTGCATCCCGGCTGAAGTCGGGAGGCACTGTGTTGATGGGGAAAGCTTTCCTTTGGGACAATGGATGAGGATGTGACTCACTCATCCCATTTTCCCTCCCATGAAACGAACAGGCCCCTCAGCAGGGTTGACAAGCCTTGGCATAGAGTTAGACTATACTTTTGTTCTCCTTTATCATCCTCTCATCACCGTCTCTATTTTGGTTTGGTATTGCTTTGTCTTTGAAGTAGGGTCTCCCGTACCTCAGGCCCACTTCAAATTCCCTATGTAGCCAAGGATAACACTGAACCTCTGCTCCTCCTGCTTCCATCTCCTGAGCACCGGGAGCACCACCATACCTAGGGGAGGAACCCAGGGCTTTGTGCAGGTCAAGCAAGTTTTCTGCCGACTGAACTGCATCCTCAGCTCTGATAGGCCTGCCGCATGCCTGCCCCCAAATTCCTCTACCCTTCAGTTTCTCAGCCAACACCTGGAGCTTTTCAAATCCTCAGCTCCACGAAAATGATCTTAAGAGAATGAGTCCCATCCTATGGCCACCATGTAATTTCAGGACTTTTACCCTCAGGGTGAGATTACCCCAATCACTCAATATTTGCAAGAAATAATGTGTATATTAACCTATAGATGGGTCAGAAAGGCTTAGAATTCAGAAAAGAAGGTAGTTAAACCATTCAGACTAGAAGGTTCACCTCAGAATATCCCATTGACTTAATAGTCACCACCAGGGATCTGATTATTATATTCAAAGTGGAATATGAACACTTGGATATCTGCCTCCCTTTTTCCCTCTCTTCCTTTCTCCCTACCTCCCATTCTTCCTCCTTCCCTCCCTTCCTTTCTTCCTTCTTTTCTTTGAACCAGAGCAGTGGCTTTCAGCCATAGGTACACATCATAATAATGCACAAAGCTAGATGTATGCCTCTGACTACCTTGCATTGTGACAGGTAATTTAATGGGTTTAAAGATATTGTGATTCCACGCCAGGTACATTTTTTTCCAAGTGATCCCAGAACCTAGCTCCCTTGTCAGTGATTTTTCAAAGGGCAGAGCCAGTGTTCTCAAGACCTAAAGGTACGCTTCCAATGCATGAAAAGAGCCTAAGGTTAGAACCTCTGGTCCTCAAGGAGTGTCCCCTCCTGACCTGGCATCACAGGACATCCCATCAAAGAAGCAGGTCACCATCAGTTCTTCGGCAGAATAGCTCATGTTGATTTTCTTCTCTAGAGGCACCTGTGCCATGATATTCATGTAGTGAAGCTTGTACCACTCCTGAATGGCATTGATTCCAGAGCTGAAGGTGTAGGTGGCACAGTCAGAGGTGTCATTTGAGCACTGTGGATAAGAGGGGACACCAGGTTGTCAGTCCCAGCACTTCCGGAAGGACTGAGGTGAGTTACAGATGCCAGGCTAGGTCCTCGGCTTCCGCTTACTTCTGGGAGCTTGAGTGGATCAACCTCAAGCCTCATGGATAAAAGAGAGAGCAAAGAGGAACCTTGGGGCCAACTCCTATGACTTTCTGCTACTGTCTGCCACTGAGCAAGAAGCAAATTCAATTTTTAGGGTCCCCGTATATCCAGGGTTTAGCTGATTAATGTCATCGTCTTCCTACTGAACACAGTGTAGAAATCTGGATTCTAGCCCAGACTCTGACATTACTTCTCTGCAAGATCTCAGACTAGGCACTAACATATGGAGTATGTCACTGACAGAATGCTGGTGAATACCACCCTACCCAGCCACACTTAGCAAGCAGTTGAAAAGACTCATGTTTGAAATACTTAATTATGAGGGCTCTAGAAAGGAGCCATGGAACATTCCTGGCATTTTCATCACCCTCGGCTTGGAAAGTCTCCTGAAAGGACAAACATCCAAAGAATTTGGTATTAAGAGAAATTGTGTAAATATTCTGTGAACGTAACCAGGAAGATTTCGAAGTCTCAATGCTTTTTGATGAAGCACCTTTTTCATTGTCGAAAATTTGTTTAGATTGATAGAAAGCATTGCTAGATTCAAAAGTCCCGTTATCAGAACTATTAAGATGAAGAAACAGTCCCCATCCATGCTCTGACGGTGGCGTGGAGAAGCACGGTAATGATAGACCGTGCCCAGGAGGGTAGTGGGTAGTTCATTTTCATTGAATAGCTGCTTCCAATTGCCACTTGAATGGGACCATAGGGGCAATAGAAGCTTGGACATGGCACCTCAGGAAGGCAGGTACTACTGGGAACCCTGGTGGATTCACTGTGGCTTAATTTCCCCTTTCTGATGTCTGCACAGTAGCTTTGCTTTGGGGACCCGTCCCCAAATATGTCAGGAGGTGATCAGGTGCCCCCCCCAGCTTGGCTAAGGGAGCCCCAAGATGGAATCTGCAACTTCGGCATTATCAGAGAGGGTGACAATGGCCTCTTTAATTCGACATCAGTATCTGAACAAATACTATCATTTCTTGCTCCCTAGATCACTAGGTCTCCCCAAATTTCTGACCTTTGAGAGCCCTAACGAGCCACTGGTCATCTCCTAGGACTCTGCCCATGAGCTGGTCTCAGTGTCTTGCCACCAAATCATGATAACAACACACACACCTTACATTTGGCCTGTTGACTATCAGGAGCACCAGCTCTTACTCTCCCTGACACCCTTGAACTGTAAGGAAGTCTTACCAATTGAAATCCCACCAACTTCTTCGACTCGTGAACGTGCATGACGTTGGAAGCCTTGTGAATGATTTTCCCACTGATCTTGCGCTTCCGGCCTGTGAAGAAGTCCCTGGCCTTTCCCTTCTCATTGAAGACCAGCAATGGGATCAAGTTGAGGAATCTGGGTGGTGGGCCTTCCCAAGTGGATCTTATCGATCCTGCCTCCCGGCGTTCCCGAGATTTAACCTCTGGAAAGTCTTTGACCCCATATAGGGACAGCAAGGCCTGTCTTGTCTCAGCATCCAAGTCAGTCAGAAGGTCGCTCACGGCGCTGTACCTACCAAAGTGCAAAGGAAATTTCATGGAGAAGGAAGACCCCTAGCACAGTGCTCTAGCTTCTCCATGTTGTCTTCCATCTTGGTGTGTCAGCCCTGTGTCTCCTGACCACTCCCTCGGCCAAGGGGACATGATCTTTCACTATTTGCCCCATTCAAAATGACCACCGGTTCCCCTCCTCTGCCACCTCTGTCTACCCATAGGTAGGGTGATGCCCCCAACCAGTATCTCTAGAGTGCTGACTCTCAGGTGCCTCCCATAAAGTGGCCAAAGTGTGGACATATACATAACTGCTACTCATACGGGGGTGGGGCAGGCTCCATTTCCACCCATCACACTCTGCCCCGGCCCACAGGACACTCTCCAACCAGTGCTGGGAGGCACAGGATTGGAGCTGTCACTCTGACAACACCCAAGCACACAGAAAGCAAGAGCTGACTGTATGAAGCATAATGACACCGTTTAAAAAAAAAAAAATCACCGTACCAAACGGCCCCAGCCTCTCTCTTGACTCTCCCTTCTCTCTCCCTCTCGCTTCCGGTGGAGGTCATGACATAGCACAGAAGCCAGGGACATGGATTTCAGAGTCTACCCGCCCCGTTCAAGCTCTCCATCCCAATCCAGGCTGTGCGATCTGAGTCTCCGTTTCTGTGTCTCCGTTACCCAGCCTGCTTATTTGTAAAACGAGGTTGTGGAGAAGGCTCAGTGTGGGGGTATGGTGGCACACAGCTACTATGCTAGCACGTGGGAGGCTGAGGGAAGACCACAAGCTCAGAGCCAATCCGAGCTAGGTAGCGTGGCTCTGTCTCCAAGTATATAAACACTGTTAAAAGTGTAAAAGATATATATATATATATATGCAAGTAGGTAATTAAAGGGCCACTGTTACTTGTAGTCGCTCGCTGCTCTTCCTCCTACCCCCCCCCCCCATTCTGCTGCATTCTGACTGGCCTCCCAGATCAGTCTCCCATAATCCCGAGGACTCTGATGACCCATTTAGAACAGGTCTTGCCACTGACAACCGGGCAGCACCAAGGGTTTATCCTGTCCAGAGCCGGGGAGCTCAATTACTGGGCTGGGCTCCCTGAGACGGAAGGGTCAGGGCAGCGAGGATGCTTCCGGAAGTCACCTGGGTGTCACTTCTGAGTCAGCCTGGCTTTGGGAGAGAGTAAGGGAGTGAACTAGGAAAGGCTCAGTGGGGCTGCTTGGGTCCGGGGGTGGCACCTTCCGGGCCCAGTCTCCAAGCAGAATTGGTGGAGCAGCCTCCCCTGCCTGCTGCCTTAGACAGAACACAGCCATTGACCTGAAAGCATGCAGGTCTGAAACCGATCCCGGCGATCAAATCGACATTTCTAGAGCCTGTGTCAGCAGGCTGGTGTGGCCCTCGGACCCGCCGCTCTGGGGGAGGGGCTTTGGCATCCTCGAGAAGCTAGACTTCCCGCTCCCCGAGGTGAGCGCAGCCTCTTACTTGTAGGGGTTGATATTGCAAATTGTGACGGCGGGAAAATCCAGTTTCTGGAAGTGCACTTTGATGGAGACGGAGACGGTGTAGAAAGAGAAGACGAGGAGGGCGCACTGCCAGAGAATGAGGGCCACTGCCGTTAGCGTGAACGCGATCCACAGCAGGCGCCGGAGGCGGCCTCGGGACACCACGATGCGGCGGCAGCCGTGGGTGTTGGTGTTCAGGCAGTACCAGCGCATCAGGTCCTTGATGGTCGGTGCCTGGGGGCCTCGGACCGGGAGGTTCTTTTTGATTTTGGCTTTGATCTTCTCTCCGGGCGCCATGGCGAGGACGGAACTTTGCAGCTGAGTTCTGAAGGGACAGAGGAGACTCGTCAGTGAGCTTGCAAGCACAGGCCTGTCAGCCCGTCCCTGGAGCCTCCGACTGGGGAACACCAAGCCCACGTGTTCTCAGAGGCCTTCTTCATCTGTGGGCTGGACGGACGGGCGGCATTCTGAGCCCTCAGCCCCTTCTCCAGGATATTTGCTTTGGGGCCACCCCAGCTGCCTCCTCCTCCTCTTAAGGCCCCCAGGCCTAGCCCCGTGGGGGCAGGGCCGTGTGTAACCTGCACATACTGGCTGGACTGGCTGAAGGACCTTTCCTGGGGCAGGTGCCCTCACAGTAACCCAGGCCGACGGCTCTTATCAGGCGGAGGCGCTATAACCCGTGCCTTATCGCGTCCCTGGGCCACTTCTCCTTGAGAGCAGCCCTCTTGTTTTACGATGTCTCCTGGTGCCTAGCGAAATGTCCCTCCTGCACAGAGCGCACGTTAGGTAACGTGTCACCGGCTGGTGAAACCTCCCACAATTTCCCAGAAGCTGTTAGAGATCGTGTCCTGACCATGTTTTCCCTGCCCCGTATTTCCACGTTGCCTTCTAAATGAAACGATTTCTGTTTCATTTTTTTCCCCCTCTCGTTACTGTCAACTCTGTGCACTTTCTATAGCGCCTGGTGTAACATCAGCCCGTGACTGCTGGCCTCTCCGCATTTACCAGGCACCATGCCATTGCACCTGATTTTAAGGTATCAGAATCTGGAGAAGGCACCTTGATTACTGGAGAGCAAACGGACGTATTCACCTATGTATTCACCTCCGCTGTGGAGACACTACGCTACGAGACAGTCATTTCAGCAATGAACTCGCTGTACGCTAGATAGAATCAGCGGCCTCGTGAATATGTAATCTCTGTATACAAATACACAGTCGCTTATACATTTCAACCATTACATGAGGTAGCTAGACTGTTACCATCTCCCTATCAGAGAGGTGGAGTGACGTCACCAAGGTACACAGCATGGCTCCTTATGTCGACGTGTGGGATCTGCATTCAGGACAAGGACTTTGATGACCCCGTTATGTTATTTCTTTTTTTCAAGATGGTGTATAAAATGGTGGGGTTGGTTACAGCATTGCCTTACTGTAGGCGTGGTTATACTTTGTTCCAATTTGGCCTCTCCCCCATTGCACTCTCTGGTCCTCTCCCTCCTCCTCCCAAATGCTCTCTTTTTCCCCCTCCTTCCTTGAAATCTTTGTCTACTGTCTCATTTCCTCTCTCTTTCTCATCTAAGTTTTGTATATGAGAGAAAAAAAATTTTGAGAATGGCTTAGCTTGCTTAAAATAATGACTTCCATTTCCATCATCAAGTCCTCTAGACAGGATTCTGGGCCAACAGAATTGGCTTTCTTCCATCCTGAATCCACAAAATATGGTCCAAAATTGGGGGGAAGTTGAGGAGCAAGGCTCTCAGGTTTACAATGTTCGTGGGCTTAAGGCTTACCGTACAAAAGAAATAGAGAATCGAGGGCAGATGTTCAGAGGCAGCCAGACTGTCCCAATAACCTGCCCTCCGCAGGCTCACATGAGATACCTAAGCTGAGAAAAACCGTATCTTATTGACAGGATTATTCTGTTCGCCTCTTGGCAAGCAGTGGAATTTGCTTTGCTTTACTTTGTGTTAAATGTTGTTGTCCTTAAAAAAAAAAAATGTTGTGAAGCATGGTAGCACACACCTTAAATTCCAGCACTCAAAGGGCAGAGGTAAGAGGATCTCTGTGAGTTTTAAGTCATATATGTATGTATGTGTGTGTGTGTGTGTGTGTGTGTCTGTCTGTCTGTCTAAAGTTCTAGGCCATCCAGGGCTACATAATAAGACTCTGTCTAAAAAAAAAAGAAAGAAACAAAAATGGAAACAAAGTTAGCAGTTTTTTTTCAAAGCATAGATCTAGGATCCATTTGTATAGAACTGCAGCCCAAAGATGGTTCCTTCTTCTACTAGCTGTTTGTCAAAAGCTGAATTCTTTACACTCTTGTTCTCAACACTAGTGTTTCTCACTGAAGATGATTCTCGGGGCTCCCATTCACCTCTTTCCCAGAGGACCAGCCAGTCGTGTGAGAGGGAACTCCAGAATGTTCACATATGTATTTCAACTCTCAGGCAAAGCAAAATTGTATCTAGTGCTAGACCTGGGACTTAATTCAACCGGGTGCTTTGGCAGAGGAATTCGAAGCTCATCTTCGAATTCCAGGAGCCAGCAGCTCTCAACAGTCCTCTTAGGTAGGTGTCAAAGTTTCCCGGTTATACAAGCGACATGGAGGCATGGGTAGACTAGGTAGCTTGCCCAAGATCATAATAGAAAGTGTCTGGGCTAGGATTTGAACCCAAGAACACATACTCGTTACGTTATTCCTTGAATAATGACTGGCTGCAGACTCAGCGACTGCAGTAGTAACAGCAGCTGTCAGTCACCGATAGCCGGTGCCCAGGCTTCCTATTCCAACATTTTCACCGAATTTAATTCTCGCTACAGAGTAAACGAGCTGTTATTACTATCCCCGTCCGAAAGAGGTGCAAAGAGGTTAGGTAATCCGCCCAAGGCCACACAGAATGAAAAAAAAAAAAAAAATTCTTTGAAATTCCAGGTCCTTGGTTTCTTCTTGACACTTGCTCTCTTCCCTCACACGCTCCAAACCTTGCCTCTTCCCCTGTGAGGGAACCAGCGCTTGGCGAGGGATGACACGTTTGTGAGGCTCTCTGCTCATCCTAGAAATTGGGCATGAAAGTCTGGGACCAGGGAATGTTTGGACTCCCGCCATGCCATCGTGCTGTTTGGAAATAGCTTGAGCCTCAGGACTTCCAAGGACTCAAGGCCGCGGGACCAAGCTACCCCACTGACTCGCTGCAGGCCCTGTCCGTCCTGGGGCAGTTTTTGCGGCAAAAGCCATCTGCTACGGGCGCTGCTGCTGTCTTGGGTGCCCTCTCCAAGTACTTGATTCTTTCTGCAACAGTCACCTCCACAGAAAAGCTTTCCGCGGCTGAAAGAACCAGTCGCGGTCAAGTGCACGCTCTTCAGGGCTGGGAAGCGGGATGAGATGGGCAGAGAAGAGCCTGGAGGCGCTCCTCCCACACACTGGCTCGGAAACGCCCGTCGCTCGGCTCTGGATCCCGGGCCGGGGTCTGGGGAGAGGTCGGAGCTGGACCCGTGGCGCCCCGGGAAGCGTCTCAGCATCCCGCCACCCCGTGGTTTTCTCGGAAGCCACCGCTCCCCGCGGCTGCTCGGGTGCCTGGAACCCCGAGGTCGACCCGGCCCGACCCGACCTCGCTGGACTTACCTCTCAGAGGCGAAGAGTCGCGGCTGGCGTGCGCACTGTCTGGGGACGCTCCTCTTCTTCGGGCCTCATAAAGCCCAGCATCTCCCGCAGCCGCCGCCAGAAACGCCGGTGGGCCAGGCCTAGGCCCCGCCCCTAGGGTTCCCTCCCCACCCAGACTCCGCCCACACCTGCCCAGGTGTTTTCCCCAGGCCACCCCGGGACTTTTCTCCGCCCCGAGTAAGCCGCGACCCCGCAGCGCCACCCGCCGTCCTGAGTCAGCTCTGCGCCCCAGCTCCGGCTGCCTGGCGTCTTGCTGGGGCGCCGCGCGTGTTTGCTGCCGCCCAGAGGCCACTCTGCAACCTGCATCTTCCCCCAGGTACTGCTCCTGGGAGTCACCCTGGCCCAGATCACAGGAACTCTCTTATGCCAGTTCCCGCAGACATTCCACACAGCCTCTTGCCTCTCACCCCTCCGACACGGTTACGACCTGCAGCACTCAGCTGCTTCAGCATCCGCCGTGGGCATCATGAGCTATTTAACCAGACCACTCCTTCTTTGGGCCTGTCGGCTCTCTTTCTATAGGGACTCACACCAATGACTATTAGAAATCAATTTAGGACGCTGAAACTGTGAGGGACCAAAGACGGGTGTCCGAGTCACAATCCCTTTGACCTTGGGAGAAACATAGTCCCACAAAAGGGACGGTGTTAACAAGAATTAAAATGCCGTAGACTTTAGTGATATATTCATACCCACCCACAGGAACTTGTTAAAAATGCAGATTCTGGAGTTGGGGATGTAGCTCAGTTGGTAGAGCGCCTGTCCAGCATAATGGAAGCCTCGGGTTTGATTCCCACAGTAAGTATCACGTACATTGAATGTAGTGGTGCATTCCTGGAAAGCTAGAGCTGGGGCTGGGGGTGAGACAAGAGGCTCAGAGACTCAAGGTCATCCTCGGCCATGTGGTGAGTTTGAGACCAACCTGTGCTACATGAGACCCTGTCTCTGAAAATGTAGGGAGGAATGGGGGGGAGGGGAGATGTGGACTCCAATTCATACATGCTCACGGTGAAGAAGGGACATAATAATCCATACCCCTCCCTAAAATAAGCATGCAGTAGAACTACTGTTTTGGCTAGTTTATCGTTAGCATGAGTTATAGTTACTTGGAAAGAGAGATAATCTTAATTTAAAAAAAAATGCCTCCATAATATTTGCCTGTAGGCAAGCCTGTGTCATATTTTCTTGGTTGGTGATTGATGTGGGAGAGTCCAGCCCACTGTGGGTGATGCCACCCCTGGGTTGGTGGTCCTGGGTGCTATAAGAAAGCAGACTGAGTAAGCCACGAGGAACAAGCCAGGAAGCAGCGCTCCTCCATGGCCTCTGCTTCAGTTCTTGACTCCCAAGTTCCTTCGCTGCTTGAGTTCCTGTGCTGATGTCCCTTAATAATGAGCTGTTATCTGGAAGTGTAAGCTGAAATAAACCTTTTCCTCCCCAAGTTGCTTTCGGTCATGGTGTTTTATCACAATAGAAATCCTAACTAAGGCAATCATCATTTGATATATATATATCAAATATATTATATATATAAATATTGATATAATATACTATATCAAACATAATATATATTTGATATATTTGAAATAATATATATTTGATATAATATATATCAAATAACATATTTGATATATAAT